ACACAGAACAGCCACACCCCCAGCAGCTTTAAAGAGAGAATCCCCTAGGGGACCCAAAGTCAAGACCACAAGGTGAAGGAGTGTAGGACAAGGACAGATAGAGGAGTAAGGGTATTTATGGCTTACCTCTAAAACCAAAAAGAACCCAGATAGCCAAGCTTGCTGCCTTGACGCAGACATCCACAGGGCAGGTGACAAGAACAAAAGAAAATGGACATGTTTGTGGCCCTGACTCAGAAACATCAGATTAAAGAAGAGAGCCCACTTCTGATCCACACTCTGGGGATGACACAGCTGTGTTACCTCTCCAGTGTCCCACCTGGCACACAACCACCGTACCTCATGCCAGCCTGAGGGCTTCCCAGGATGTCGAGGGAGCCAGGAGACACTGCCAGCAGGGTCACATGGTCAACTGACACCCATGGTCTTAACCACGCTGCTTCCAGAAGAGGCCAGCAGCCAGGTGCATATACAGAAGGCCAGGGGGCCACTACGGGGTGGGGGGCATCACTCAGTATCCATCTCCTTCATCTCAATACCTGATCACTTTCCAAAGATCTTAAGAGAGACTGTCAGAGTTATATGCCTGATGCCCCAGTATCCCATGGTAGTGTAGCCAGGTATAGGTGGCAGGCTGCTCCTGGCCAGGGAACACTTGGTGACCTTCTGAGGCTGGGACACATACAGGCCCACTCATTCTCCTATGCCAGCAGCCAATACTTCATGGACGCCACACCCAAGAAAGACATGAAGGTCACACATAACCAACAAGCACACATCTGATCCCACACAAAGGGGGCTGTTTTCCCATCCACAGATTAGCCCCACGGAGGCAAAGGCCAGGACCTCTCAGGATAAAAATCTTGGTACAGTAGCAGGGCCGGGATCCACACACAGACTTATCTGACTCAGGGCTCCATAACTCCCCACCCACAGCCAGCTACCTCTCATGTTTATACCCAACTACAAAGTCCGATCTTCATCCCCTTCAACTATGTAAACACCAAATGTGGGAAGAGAACTCGTCATATCAGTAATAAGTACACTGGCAGCAAGAGATGTGACAAAAATCACACAGAGCTGCAACACAAGGAGCCTCCACCACAGAGAGACAAGAGGAAGGCTACCTGCTCCCTCTGTTATCAGAGAAATCACAAGCGAGGAGATGAGAACACTTTTCAACAAGCAGTGGGAAATGTAGCCTACTGAAAATGACATGGCTTAGGGGACCGGGTCAGGGAGTAGGAGCTGTCCTATAGGATCCAAAAAAGTGGTATGTGGGCAGTATGAGAGAAGGAAAGGCAGAACACAGTGATGTGGGGGATTGGGTGAGAGAAGCAGGAAGGACCATGGGGGTGATTCATGGGGGTGCATTGACAGGTGGCCCTGGGATCCCAAGAGACAAGGGAAGGAGTTAGAGAGATCCAGAAGACTGAATGGGATTCGGCAGTGTGCTGCAAATAGATGAGCCAATCTAATCTCTCACAGGACTTGGGCACATTTTGTGGTAATCTGTACTACAATGTAAATAAGGGTGAACAGTGGATACATTGTATTGCCTAGTGAATGAATGACAATTTAAAAAAAAAAAAAATCTACACCCTGCCAAGACCTTAAGCCTAGATGCAGCAACAATGTAACATCAAAACCTTACATCCACCGCTGTTGACACCAGTATGCAGAACCCAAGGCTACAGAGGTCCAACTTGTAATCAAAGACAGAGAAGAGAGTAAGGAGCACTCCTATCCAACCAGCAGACTTCCTTCTACCTTAGAAACTGAACAATGGCTGTGCACCATTCTGGACCAGTCCAAAGCAAAGAGAAATCTCTCACTCTTCTGCCTCAAACAAAACCACCTGGCCAGTCCACCATTCCACGTTTGTTTTGTTTTTCTAGGAGACTAGAGAGAGGAGACCTGAAATGCAAATGAGCAATGTCCGTGAAAGAACAGGTGTCAAAGGACAAACCTGGACACAGAACTTCCTTGTTAGAAAGCAGGAAGGTGTCCTTTGCCTGAGAAGGGGAGTAAACCATCAAGGTGAGTCAAGAAAACCAAAAGGAAGACTAAAGACAAGTAAGCTAGCCAGCAACCCCTCCCACTATGAGAACCCAGGACCCCACTCCAGTTGGGGCTCTCCTATGGCTCTGGAATCCTATTGTGAAAAGAACCCAGCTCTGCCTACACTTGACATCCCAGGAGCTACTGGCCATGAAGTCAAGGGGAGTTCTGGGTTCTGGTTCTAGAACTGCCATATGTCCTTCAGTCAGTTCCCTCACTTGTGGATCCAAAAGAACTGACTCATCTGGAGAGCCAGAGGGCCCCTGGGCTCTAGTGCCTTCTCTTCGTGTGTGCGTGCATGCATGTGTGTCTTTGTTTTTAAGCAGGGTCTTGTGATGTAACCCTGGCTGCCCTTAAACTCTATGGGCCCCAGAGATCCTCTTGCTTCAGCCTCTAGAGAGCTGGGGGTGACAGGCTTGCACTGCCATGCCATGGACACTTCACTTTGTATTTCAAGCACAAAAACTTGAGCTTCGTATTTGTCACCTGGAATACAGAGATGTCAGTGTACTAAGACACCAACTCCCATCCTATGTCAGGCCCCCCAAAGCTCCAAACCAGGCAGCTTTCCCTTGTATTAGTAAGAAACGACATGGACACAGTTTCTTATCACGGCTCTTTCTAAGTTCTTGGCTACAAACATCTTCAAACACTATGCATTCCGCTAATTAAGGGCAATTAAAGACAAAGCAAGCTCAATGCTCTCTCTGGCTCAATGCCCAGAGAGGAAGGGATGGGTGGAGGGTAGAAGGAATTCTGACCCAAGGGAAGGGTTGCAGGAGAAAGGCACCGGAAGCTGCAGAGGCTCTGGGGGCCCCACCATCCTCATCAAGCTCTCCTCCCAGTTCCGGGCCTGCACCCAATATCCAGATTCCACAGGCCCTCCTCCTCCACACAGACACTATGTAGCAAAAGGCAGCCCATTACTGCCCCCAGGAGTCAGAGTCTGCAACCTTGGAACCTTAATCTGGGGCTGCAAGCTACCTAAAACCAAGAGTGGAACAGCCAATTTGTCCTACACGTGACAGACAGGGATCTGGCAACTGCTACAGCTACCACTTTGATTTCTGCAAGACAGGGCTTCCCACTCATGTTATCTCCACCAACAATATGGCCCTCATGAAAGTGGAAGACTTCCTTCCCTTCACTCAAACGCATGAAGTCCAAAGAGAGACCAGATGTGTTTCTAGCACCTCTGCAAGGGTTTAAGCAGAAGACTACCAGAGCACACTACTGAACAGAACTGAGCATAGCACTGAAAACTGGACCTGTTTCAGACCCTTCCTTTACAAGTACTGGTCTTGATCCACCCACAAGAAAACAACTTTCCATGTAAAAACTATCCCTGAGGGGCTGGGTCAGTGATTAAGAGCACCTGTTGTCCCTGCTGATGAGCGAGGGTTCAGGTCCCAGCACCCACCTGGTGGCTCACAACCATTCATAGGCATGAATGTGGTGTATACAGACAAAACGCTCATACACATAAAATAAATCTTTAAATTAATAAACGTTTATGAAAAAAAACCTGAAAGTTTGTTTGCTGCATTTACGTATTTATATTCAGTGATTGGTTCAGATGGGCAAAGAGGAGCCAAGATGACTTTGGTGTCCCCGAGTGAATACAGTAACTGATGACTACATCTTCAGGGAATTTTTAAAAATGTATTATTATTTCACATGTCTGGGAATTTTGCCTGCATATATCCCTAAGCATCCATGCCTGCCTGGTGCCTGAGTACAGAGAGGGAGTCAGATCCCCGGAACTGGAGTTACAAGTGGTTGTGAGTCATCCTGTTAGTCCTGAGAATCGAACTCAGGTCCTCTGCAAGAGCAGCCAGTGCTCTTAACCACTGAGCTGTCTCCAGTCTTAAGAACATTTTAAGTGAGCACAGCTACAGGCTGGTCACAGTCTCACACAGCAAGTCCATCTCACATGAACCGACTGGCAGTGCAAGCTGAGTATCCATTTCCAAGAAGAGATGCTTTGCCTTCAAAAGTAGCAGGCTGTCAAAAGCAGCATGCAAAACAGAGGCCATCGTGCAGTGATTATTAAACACAAACAGGAACTCCTGGAAGAAAATGTATCAGGGGCCGAAGATAGGGCAGGGCAGAGCAAAGGTGCTTGTTGCCGAGCCTTGGAACCCATATGGGAGGAGAAAACTGATTGCTCCAAGATGTTCTCTCTCTCTCTCTCTCTCTCTCTCTCTCTCTCTCTCTCTCTCTCCCTCTCTCATGTATGCATGAGAAAATTAAGCAGGGCACAGAAAAAAAGAGTTATTTGCCTCCCTTTCCAAATGATATGTTAGGGCAGTCAGAGACCTGGGAGTATCGTTTAGCGGTAGAATATTTGCTTAGCATGCTTGAAGTCCTAAGTTTGACCATTAGCCCTTTCTCCCACCTAAAGCAGTGAGTAGCTAAAACATGTATGACTTTTACTGAACTTTTTCATTTACTGTGGTGCTGTGGATGGACCCAAGGCCTTGTGCACAATAGGCAAGGGCTCTTTATTTTTTTAAAGAGAAGGGTCTTACTATGTAGTCCAAGCTGGTTCCCAACTCACAGTCCTGTCTCACTGAGATTACAGGTATATGCTACCACATCCAACTCAACATATATAATATTTCTTCTCTCTCTCTCTTTCTCTTCTTTCTCACTACACAGCCCAAGTTGGCCTGCAAACCTACCTTCATCAACTGCTGGATTGCAGGTGTGCACCACAAACCAGTAACTCATACAGTACTATCTCAACAAGTAGCCTTGGCTGGCCTGAAACTCAGAAATCCACTTCCCTCCCAAGTGTTGAGATTACAAACACGCAGCACCATCCTGGCTTCCATTAAGACACTTTTCTCACAAGGAACACATCAGATTTTGCAAGCGCAGTTAACACTGCCACTTACCTGCTAGTGAGACCTAAGAACAAACACAAGTGGGCTCACCTGAGGTTCAACTTCCGTTCCTCATCGCTGCCAGCCTCCAACTGCAGAGAGAGAAAGAGAATGTAACTCCACAGCCCCAACTATCAGCCCTGACAGCAGGCTCCCCCGGGTGCCGGGAAAAGATAAAGACATCCAGGAAGGAGGCTTGGCGTGTTTGACACACCCCGGCCCTCTCCTTGCCAACCTGATGTGTTGTTCCTCTGAGTCATCCCCAACGTTTTCAGGTTTTCGAATGTTTACCCTATTCTTGCTAGTCTATCATTAGCTGCCTTCCAGCTGAACCCCTATGAGACAGTGTTGCCCAACACATTCTTTTAGCCCTGGACTCTCCTCGACACACTGGCTCTGAGCCTTATTTTAGTTTTGCTTTTAAGGGAAATGGCAATGTTTTAAGGAGATCTATTTCTCCGTCCAGCCAGGCACTACTGGTAAGTCCATCTTAAAAACCCATTCCAAAGCGGGGTCACACACCTGTCATCCTAACTACTCTACAGGCTGGGGCAGGGGAAACTGCTTGAGCTGGGAACTTGAGAGCAGCTCAGGCAACCTAGGAAGCAGGCCTGTCCAAAAAGAGCCATTCCACACAAGGTAGCCAGGCATTGAATCCTAAAGGTATACTTTTAACCCCTATCACTATTTTTTGCCCTTTTCTTTTCAGGAGAACACATAACATGAGAAGAAAGCACAAGGCTGCATGGGGGTGGGGGATGGGGGGACCACTTGCGTTCTTAAAGCACCCATTGAGTGGAAGAGAACCTGGGAACTGTGTGATGGCCAGGATTGACTCAAGGCTGACTGGGGATGATGCAGCCAGAGATCAAGGGCAACAGGGAAATGAGTTCAGAGCAAAGGTAGGGAGGGAACTGGGCAGCAAGGGATATACAGCAAGAGGAAGCAACTTCAACCAAGAACGAGCATACCATAAGGCTCCAGCATCCGCCTTAGATAAAGATTCTGTGTACACTTTTATAGATACACACACTAGAAATGGACTACATTTGCTCCTGGGCTCTGAGAAAGAAGAAAGTAGGGAAGGCTCCACACCACAGGACCAGAGGGAAGCAAACTAGTAGCAATCAACACATGAGCATTTGGTCACCAAGGGCCCCTGGGCTGTTTTTTGGGCCGGGCGCTACTGGCATTCAGTGGGTAGAACATGGGATGCTGCTAATTGAGAAGGCTCTGGCCCTGATTGTCTTCGAGGCTGAGAAACCTTGTCTCTGGCCCTGATTGTCATCGAGGCTGAGAAACCTTGTCCCTGCCCAGTGTGGAGACCTGCCTATGCTTGAGGGGTGCGGGGTGAGGTCTTGCACATTTGTCAAAAACAATGTTACTAACACTCCAGGAAGGCTGGTATATTGATTTTTTGGCTCCCCTTGTTCTCACAAAGGAGTTCAGAGAAGGTTACAGGGAAACGACAAGCATGTGATAATTAAAGACCCAGAAAGAAAGAAAAGCGGAGGTGGGGTGGTGAACAAAATCAGAGTACAGGATTGCTGTGATTTGTCTTGGTTTCCCAGGCTTAGCGGATAGCCTTGCTGTGTCAGGAAACTACCGTGTTCCTGACTCATAAAAGAAGTGGCATTTTGGTAAGTGGTGACGATGGAGGGGGGGTGAGGTACGGGCATCACAGTCATTTATTTCTCGGTCACCCTCTCAGGTTTTCCACTGAAAGGTGACATAAGGTCAGGAATGCCAGAGGAGAGACAGCGAAGACCTTCATGCTTAAGAAGTAATCCAGGCCTCTCAGACGAGCAGACTGGGAGAGGAAGCCAAGTGGAGGAAGGGCAGGCAAGAGGCACAGCCAGTGCCTTGAGTCTCCCAACTCAAGGTGCAACTGCTACCTCCTCTCTGCCTTGCTTCCGGCCTCAGCACATCTGGAAGGCAACCCAGGGACATCCCAGCCCACACAATTACTGGAGACAAATGCTGTCAATGTACCAAAAGAATGATGTCTGGGATTTTAGAGTTTGTTTTAGTTTGTGGGCTTTTTTTTTTTTTTTTTTTTGGTGTGTGTGTGTGTGTGTGTGTGTGTGTGTGTGTGTGTGAATGGTATGTGTTCATGTATGTGTGCACATGTATGTGTGTGTACATGTATGAGTATTGTGTGTGGATGCTGGAGACTGTGATGGTATCTTCCATATTGAGTCAGGGTCTTCTCAATGAACCCATTCTTAATCCCACTAGTCTGGCCTTGTAGCTTGTTCTGGGGATTTGTGTCTCCACCTCTCACACACCTGGGATATGTGTGCCCTGGGCATAGGCCCCTTCCTTATGCATTCAGCATTTGCCATTTCCCAGCCCTTTGCTGAGTTTTATTCTGTTAATTGGTCACTGGGACTTGGTTTTAAAAGTTGTCTTATAAAGTCAGGCAGTGGTGGCGCAAACCTTTAATCCCAGCACTTGGAAGGCAGAGGCAGGTGGATCTCTGTGAGTTGGTCTACAGAGCAAGTTCTAGGACAGCCAGGGACATACAGAGAAACTTTGTCTCAAAAACAAAACAAAACAAAAAGATCTTATATGATAATTTAATATGTCAGCGAGGACAGGGCTTCAAACAGCCCAGCAGTTAAAAGCACGTGTGCTGCTCTTCCAGAGGACCTAAAATCAGACGGCCAGCAGCAGCCACATCCTTCGGCTTACAAACCCCTGTACCCCTAGCTCCACAGGATCCAACGTTCTCTTCTGGTCTCTCAGGGCACCTCTACTCATGTGCACATATCCATAAAGACAGACACACACACACACATAATTTAAAACATTTTTTTTTTGGAAAAAAAATGTGGTCTGGGGATGTAGTACAGTAGCTGGAACACACAGGGCCCTGGCTCAACACTTAGCACTGAAAAATAATAAAAGGAGAAAAATGTCCTCATGAATGTCCTGAAAACCTTTACCTTCATGTAATGGATTATTCACTGACATGACACAACCTGGATAAACCCTGAGACCACTGTACTAAGAACGAGATGACAGACAAGGGCAATACTGTATGTTTCTGGTTATATGAAATACATCGAATAGACAAATGTAGAGACAGCAGATGAGGGGCCACCTGGAGTGGGGGTGGGGCAAAGACTTCTACAGGTGGTGACTGAGGGCGGGCGGTAGAAAAGCTTCTGGACTTGGGTGATGGGGCATGGTCTTGTGTCTACTAATTACATACTTCCCCAAAGGTAAATTCACAGACTGTGAGTTGCATCTCAACTAAGAAAAAAAAAAAGTTTTAAAACCTAAAAATGTGTCTGAGGTAGGAACAGGAAGTGATCAGGTGTTAAATTACCTAAAACAATATGGAAGTTGGTCAGAAATCCAGGCTAAAAGCCAGGTGCGGAGGGCACTTCTAAAATGCCAGCACCTAGGCTGCAGAGGTAGGAGGCCAATCCCAAGTCTGAGAGTCCAGCTTTATCTATACAGTACTAGGCCAACCAGAGCTACATGGTGAGACGGAAGAAAAGAGGGAGGGAGGGAGGAAGGAAGGAAGAGAAATCTAGTCCCTCCCTGAAGCCACACTCTTCCCTAAGAGCCTGTAGTTTTGTAGAAGAGCATGAGATAAAGGGGATAAAAAGAACTTTGTAAACTGACGTGGGTGAACCGAGCTGTGTGGGAAGAGAGTTTCTACTACAATCCAACTTCTCAGTTGCTCTGCCTAATTGTGTGAGTGCAAAAGAAGAGGCAACCAGAACCGTCTGCCTGGAGATAAAACTCATGAAAGAGCCTCAGACAGAAGAGACCCTGGAGGCTTAAGCTCACAGCCATTCAGCAAATGTGCCTGCCAGTCCCGGCAAGACCAGACCAAAACGCAACACTATGGGATACAAGGTTGTTGAGCCAGTGTCTCATGCAGGCACACACAACCCAGGGAACAGGGCCCAGAATCCAGCTGGCAACTTCCTGGGCCTGCAGGGCTGCTCCAAGCACTGCGGGGCGTCCCCTGCAGCAGGCTGGGTCTTCAGGGGTTTATTCGAAGGCCTTAGGTTCATCAGGGGTGGGGTGGGGTGGGAGGGGGTGAGACCGGCTGGGGGGGCGCAGCCTAGAAGAGCAGGCCGTCCTGGGGACCGGGACGCGCCGGTCCCCATCTACCCCGGCTCTCAACAGCATGGAGCCCAGGCCCCGAGTACACCCTGGGACCGCGAACCCAGAGCTTGCCAGAGGCTTTCCCGGTGCCTGGCATGGTGGCAGCCT